AAAAAAAAAAAAACAATAAAGTTAAAATAATGGCCTCTTGGGAGCAGGATTTACACTGAAGTAGATAGCGTTGGTAACTGTTACCTTCATTATGAGTTTTGTGGTAGTTTTGACTTTTTAAATGTATTATTACAGTATTTTAAATGTCTTATTTTGACATTTTAAGATCATTCTCAGCAAACAGACACAAGAACAAAAAGCAAACATTGCATGTTCTCACTCATAAGTGGGTGGTGAACAATGAGAACACATGGCCACAGGGAGGGGAACATCACACACCTGGGTCTGTTGTGGGCAGGGTGGGGGGCCTGGGAGAGGAAGAGCAGGGGGTGGGGGGATAAGAAGGGCATACCATTAGGAGAAATGTAGATGACGGGGTGATGGATGCAGCAAACCACTATGGCACTCACATTCTCTTCTGAAAGAAATTTCTAGCATCATTTCCTCATATGTGAAAGGAAAGAGTTTGAAGACATGATTTGTAAGATCCTTTTGATCTTTAACTTTTTCACTATGAAAATTGTCTATACTTATCCAGCATGTTCACCTTCATTATTTCATTGATCTTAAGGTGACCTCGAGCACTTGTCAGGGCAAGTGCATTTTGGGGAGACTTAAGCTCACGACAGTTAAATGGCCTATGCAAGGCCAAGCGACTACTAAGTTGCAAAAGGAAATTTCACACTCACATTTATAAAATATCATATATCTAAGGCTTTCCCTTATGTTCCTACTAACATAAATATGCTGATAAAAAAACTCATGGCTGTAAAAGTGATATATGTGCCTTACATATTTATTTGCTCATTTCTTCCTTCAGTAAACATTTGTTGACTACCTACTATGTCCAAAACCCCATAGAGTTTTAAAATATCAAACTGTTACTAGATAGTGACAAAGCCACATTATTAAATTTTAGGATTCATTTCTACCTCTTTGAAGTATCAGATAAGACTAGACAGAGTCTTTTATTAATTTTTCTATCAGTTCATCTGACAGACATTCTTACTACCTTCTGAAATTTATTCAACCAAAACATTTCCGGAGAAGAGTTAAAGTACCCATTCTTCAGGAATCAATAATCAAAGAAAAGTAGATTAGAATGTTATAGGAAAAATCAACATACAGATAGAGATTACCCTGACAGTGGAAATAATTTCAAGTTTTTAGTCTGGAAACAATGATATTCAAACTCGGCAAGCATTGTAGATGATCATTTTTATTTGTATCATGTCTCCCAGAGTCCTTAAAAGGTGATTGTTATCATATGTGGACAGAATGAGAGAGGAGTTAAGAATGATTTCCAGATTGTGGTTGGGGGACTGAATATGACAAAAGTCTCAAAAGTATAAAATGACAAGAGCAGTTAGAAGTAAAGGGAGAGGCCGGGCGCGGTGGCTCACGCCTGTAATCCCAGCACTTTGGGAGGCCGAGGTGGGTGGATCACGAGGTCAAGAGATCGAGACCATCCTGGTCAACGCGGTGAAACCCCGTCTCTACTAAAACTACAAAAAATTAGCTGGGCATGGTGGCGCATGCCTGTAATCCCAGCGACTCAGGAGGCTGGGGCAGGAGAATTGCCTGAACCCAGGAGGCGGAGGTTGCGGTGAGCCGAGATCGCGTCATTGCACTCCAGCCTGGGTAACAAGAGCGAAACTCCGTCTAAAAAAAAAAAAAAAAAAAAAAAGAAGAAGAAGAAGTAAAGGGAGATAGGTAATTTTATTTTACATATACACCCTTGAGGCATACAACAGGAAATGTATAGAAAGCAGATATATACACACATTGGAAGGCAGGTCTTCTTCTAGAGACTGGGTTACAGAGACAGACTCAGGAATTCTCATGATGGTGGAGATGGTTAGAACCATAGAATCATACAGGAAATTTGCATAGAGCAGGAAGAGTATAAAGCAGAGGACAGAATCTCAAAGGGTTTTAAATGCTCGAAATGCTCTTAAATCATGTTAGAAGGAGGAAATAGAGCTTTGGGATACAGACAGACACCAGAAAAGGGGAGAAAAAAACTAGGAAAGAGTGATGTCAGAGCAACTAAGAGAAACATTTATCAAAAGGGGTGGGTCAGTATTGTCAAAGGCCAAGTATGCTTAACACTAAAAGACTTCAGCAGATTGTTAAATACGAAGATCATTGCTGATTTTTTGTCAGAACAATTTTAGGGAAGCAAAATTAGAAGTCATATTTTGGTTGACAGATCATGAGTGGAATGGTGAACAGGAAATAGATTACACTACTCTAATTTTCCTACAATGAACATGTAGCAACATTTGTGTAAGAAAATTGCAAAATGACTAAAATGAGTTTGCCTAAAAAAATGGACAGATAAGAGAATAGCTGGAAGAGGGCTATGCAGATTTGAAGATCATCTGTTGTTTAAATCCTGAGGGTTTAGAAAAAGAAGAGAGAGGGAGAAAAAAAATGCAACAGAGAGGGGAGACAATTGTTGTGAGAAAGCAAATAACTCTTGGTTGTCTTCTTAAAATGGGATGTGAATATACCTACATACCTGTAGGATTAGTAAAAAATCATGCCAGACTAGGATCTTAATCTGTAAAAGCCCTTAAATATAAACGCATTTTCCAGTTGAGAGTGTAGGGCTAATTCCAAAGTAAGGCTATTATTTCTGTGATCGTTTAAAACAAACTAGACCTAACCCTGTGAGGGGATCCATTACCATTCTGAAGATGACAAAAATGAACTCTAATTGACCTTCCTATGGTTAGTAGAGAGGAATGAGGTGGTTCACAAAGGTCCCCTGAATCTAATCCTCACTCCTCCTCACGGTGCTCTTTGACAATACTCATGTGAGCTGTTAAATGAGTCATATAGCATTCACTGAAGCTAGAATAAGGGAGATTTGGAAAAACAAAAGCATAGCAATCAATCCACAGAATAACGCCTAAAAATGAGATATTTTTTGTTTGTCTGTTCTTGAGAAGCATAATATTTTTTTCCCTCAAATATCAGAAGCGGAGGACACAGTAGTTGGATATATGTTAAAGAAAAAAGTAGCAGTGTAACAGAACATCTCATAAGGGACTATATGCAAAACATGTTATATTATAATGAATAAAAAAAATCTCACCTTACTAGGTACTCGGAATATATTTTTACAAGAAATATAATAGGAAATAGAGATACAAAAGTTATTTCTCTTAAACAAAGTGTAATACCAAGGTTAGCATCCAAATCAGGTGTCCTTTTCAGATATCACTTTTACATTTTTCAAATACATGTATCTATTTCTTTTTCTCTTAATCAAATAATGTTACAGCATCTGTTTCCGATCAGAAACAGATAAAAAAAATCCATATAAATAGAAGACATTGGCTTTTATTTATATTTAATTTTTAAAAAATGATCATCTAGGGGAAAATGTTTCAAAATCTTTTAAAATCTCTTTTTCTCATGCTTGAAATTAAAACTGCCTTTATTTGCCTGTTGGTAAATAAGGTCTAGATATCAGTGCATGACAACATGTACTAATGCATTGAACTGTGAATTAGGAATGAAAATTGCCTAGAAATTTTGTTATGGGTTCTTAGGATTAAAGTAAGAATTTCCTTTGCTGGACTGTGTAGGCGCTGAGATTCTGTGGTTGTTGGAGGGGTTAAATTTGGATCTACTAGTGCATATATATTACAGACGATTCATTAAAACATGACAGTGAAGACTGGGTCAGTCCACTACCATGTACAAGCAGTGACCAATAGAAAAGGAAGAAGAAGATCCAAGAAGGCTGAGGTAAGCAGTCTTCTGAAGCCCTGTCAAAGAGGAAACAATAGATCAAAAGTGTTCATGGTGACTGGTTCGAATAGATTTCACTGTTTCTTATAGGAGGCTTGACAGCTTAAAGGAAAAACAAATTATTTTCATAAAAGATTTTTTTTTTCCTCCTAACTGATTTTTAGCAAACTTCAGACTCAGACACAGGACTCAACGGTGTATTCCTGGAAGGCAAGGTAAACTATTCTGCACTTTTAAAAACTCTTAAAGTTAAGAATGCAAAGTACTTATTCAATAGATGCAGGGTTCCAACTTCAATAACTAAACCAAAATCCTATTCTGAAAAAGAAAAAAAAAATGTAGTGTTTCTCTGCTGGAACATGGCCAGAGCAGCGTTCTGCAATCCTAGAAAATTTGACAGCTTGCAGAAGCAGCTCTGCACTTGTTTTCTGCAATTTAATGGCAAAATTCAATGATCAGCATTTCATAAATGAAGCTGACTTTATCTTTTCCTAAGGAATCAGTAAAATTTATTTTGTTTTATTATCAGTCAGTTCACTAAATGTACATTGGTCAGAATGTTACTGATATATATGTATATATAAATATATGTAACATGAATACTATAAATGATTACTATGTATGTTATATATATTTCGTGTAAAAACAATTATTTGTAACAATAATCTTTGATGATCAATGGGAGGGTTTATGTGTTTTAAATGTATCAAATATTAATAAGTGCTAACTTAGTTTCTATTATCCACACTGATAATATGAATATAAAGAATTTACCTGTATCCTAAATGTTTTTTGTTTTTTATCAACCATAATAATGCCATCGTTGAATATAATACTCAGGTAATTGTGATATACATCACAATGTATTCAGTTCTATATAATAAACTATATATGTGCATATATATATATATATATAGAGAGAGAGAAAGAGAGAATTTACAATTCAGTAGCTTGGCTGAACAACTTAATTGTATGCTTAAAATTATAGACATCTTCCCCCACACTCAAAAAACTTACCTGAGAAATTGAGCTACAGAATAACAGATTAATTACACTTTTCTTCAGCTCCTAGAACCTTCCTTCGCCATAAAGTGCTAAAATTTTCTTTGATCTCTTCATTCCTTTGGTTCAAGGGCCAAAAAACCTAGGAAATCTCATCCAGATGTTCTCCTCATTTGGGGTAAAAGTAAAAGCATATGTCTACCTCTCAGGAACAACACAGATTCCCAATTTGAGATTTTAAAAGATCACTTTTTTGTACTCTCATATTCAACTACTGGTTTCAGTTCAGTTCTTTAAATTAAAAAGCTTGAAATGGAAAAACATTTAGAACTGCTAAAACTGCTAAAATTTTCTTTCCATTGCTCAGCTTTTATTGTGATTGGGTTAAAACCAGAAAGCTACAGGTTGGTGAATTATTCTCAATGTTTGTAAAATACTTTGCACATAGTGCCTACTAACTAATATATATTAATTAATATATGTATATGAAATATTGATATATTTTCACTGCTTCCATGAAGAAGCAATGTTTACAGATCATTTTGATGTATAAAATTATCTAAAGGTCAAGATGTTCAAATATTTAACAGTTGTATTCCTTTTTCTGTAGGTGCTATCATGGCAGGCACAATCTGTGTCACCATGTGGGTGTTATTCATAACAAACACTGTGTGGACTAGAAGCGTGAGGCAGGTCTATGAGGTACATGACTCAGAAGATTGGACTATTCATGACTTCGAATGTCCCATGGAATGTTTCTGCCCACCTAGTTTTCCTACTGCTTTGTATTGTGAAAATCGAGGTCTCAAAGAAATTCCAGCTATTCCTTCAAGAATTTGGTATCTTTATCTTCAAAACAACCTGATAGAAACCATTCCTGAAAAGCCATTTGAGAATGCCACCCAACTAAGATGGATAAATCTAAACAAGAACAAAATAACCAACTATGGAATTGAAAAAGGAGCCCTAAGCCAGCTGAAGAAATTGCTCTTCTTATTTCTAGAAGATAATGAGTTAGAGGAGGTTCCTTCTCCATTGCCAAGAAGTTTAGAACAATTACAATTAGCTAGAAATAAGGTGTCCAGAATTCCTCAAGGGACCTTTAGCAATCTGGAGAACCTGACCCTTCTTGACCTACAGAACAATAAATTAGTGGACAATGCCTTTCAAAGAGACACTTTTAAAGGACTCAAGAATCTCATGCAGCTAAACATGGCCAAGAATGCCCTGAAGAATATGCCTCCAAGATTACCAGCCAACACAATGCAATTGTTTTTAGACAACAATTCCATTGAAGGAATACCAGAAAATTACTTTAATGTGATTCCTAAAGTGGCCTTTTTGAGACTAAATCACAACAAATTATCAGATGCAGGTCTCCCATCAAGAGGTTTTGATGTATCATCAATTCTAGATCTTCAACTGTCACACAATCAACTAACAAAGGTTCCCCGAATCAGTGCTCATCTGCAGCACCTTCACCTTGATCATAACAAAATTAAAAGTAAGTAACCTGAAGGGTATGTCTTTGACTAAAGGGCTCATGGTCATTAAATGTATCTTTATCTTCATTAAGAAGAGCAATTGTGTTGCACCCTCCTCCACTAATGTTCCTTTAGATTTTTAGTGTATTTTCTATTTTCAATATTAAATCTTGTCTACTCACAGACAGACTTAATGAACTAAGAAGTCCAAATCTTCAACTGAAGACTAAAAAGTGGACTTGAGTCATCTACAAAGGGCTATTATCTACTCAATAAACTAAATGTCTCTATTTTCTTTTACTCGGGGAAATTCCAATATATCTGCCTCATTGGGTACGCTTATTTAAGAAATCTTACCAGGCACAAACAACCTTATGACTAGTAATAAAGAAAATATGATTTAGGAGGCATTAGGAAGGCATCTCTGTCCTAATTACTATGACAGCTGATGCCTGAAACTCTCCTAATTGGAGTCTCTAATTAAGCTCCCCTAATAACAGTGGGAGTCTCAAACAAGTGTGTAAAGGCTGGTGAATCCACCCCCAGGATTTCTGATTCAATAGATCTGGAGCGAGACTTGAGAATTTTCATTTCTAACAGTTTTCCAGTTGATGTTCTGGAACTACACCTTAGAACCAGTACTATATTTTAAGGCTTTATCAATTAAAATCGAAACAAATTTCTCTGGTAGCTGGCAAATCCTTGGGACTTACAGGCAATCAATAGATGATAGAATACCCTCTCCTTTCCTGAAAAAAGCTTTTTATAAGGGAGTGAAAGATGAATGCAAAGTTTTTGGAGGCAAAGGCACCATCAAGAGAAAAAGTGATTATAGAAAGCAGATGTTGGAAATATTGAAGACGAATTTGGCTTCTTCACAATTATGCATGAGACCAGGCTGGACTTGGTATAAAAATGGGTTCAGACACAGGGGTATTATGCCTAGCCTGGTACTTATCTATGCATCTTCAACCTCAGAGTAGACCCTTTAAAAATCACCTTGGGGAGATTTATCCAGGACAGCCTAAGAAAATGCATTCCAAAAGTAACATTCAGTCAGAATAGTTTGTAAGAGAATAACAAAGATAATCTGTCAAAAGGTTGTGCTGTCCGGGTATTACTCACTAAAGTTTTTTAAGCAAATAATCACATAAACATATCATTTATAAGAACAGACTATTTTTCCACTGGGTACTTCTCATTTATTCAAGATTTCTTTTTGGTGGGGGGAGTCAAATAACAGTGTACTTGAGCCTACAATCCAGGAATTAATTGGCAGCCTGCCACCACAGTGGTTATTTTTCCATGGTGATGAAACATATTGTTTAACCCTGTAGTCAAAAATAAAAGATGCAACAGAAAAAAAATTGTAAGAGATGAATCTGTTTTGCTGAACCAAATAGAACAACAATGATATTGACCTAAATAGATGATTTTTCCTGATGAGTGTTCTGTGCTTCTACAGGTATATTACAGGTACACTCCTTAAAAGCCCCACAGAAAATTGATATAGGAAGTTAATATCAAGTGACTCCACATAGAGCCCTTGCTTATGGAATAGGCATTTCATTCTGAGCATTTCATTTGTGAATTAGGGCTTTTAGGAGAGAAGTAGAAATATTTAAAACACAGTTGAGAAGTATAAGACTCTAGATTATGATCTTAGAGTCTTAGGGGTGTAGTATAGACCCACATTTTAATGTTTTATCAAAGTATTTCTCATAGATTTCTAATTTGTCCGTTGTTCTTACATCTTAGTGTGCATCTGAATCACCTGGAGACCTTGTAAACCTAGGCTGCTGGGTCCCAACCCCAAAATTTCTGACTTGCTAGGTCAGAGGTTGGGCCTCACAGTTTAGTCTCCAGGTATTAATAGTACTGATATTGCTGGTTCACAATTTGAGAACTACTGTTTAATGCTTGGAAGAACCTTGTGTGATATTATTAGGAATTTCTGAAGAAAGAGAAATGGAAAATCAGTTAGGGAAGGATATTTGCCCAGGACAAAGGGTAAATGCAATAGCCACAAGCTGATCCTAAAGTGGTTTTTTCCACTCTTACAGTATAATAACAATACTTTCCTTCATTTTCATGAATACAAAAATTTAGAAAATATTCTATTAGTAGAACAGCAACAAAGAGAAATCTAGTGATTTACTTTTTAATGTAGATATTAAATTTTGTCATTTCTATATTTAAGAAAATAAATATAAGAGTTTCCCTGGATAGAATTATTGACATAACACACTGTGCTAAAACTGTTTAAGTACTTTGTTCTTCTTGCCACATAATCTACTCTAGTTGTTAAAAAAGTGGTTTCCAAGAAACATACCTCTTCTATGAAAAGCCATCAAAATTTATAAGACCATGAACCTGTCTCAAGCAATGTGATGGAAATATTTATTCTTCTGAAAACTTTCAGGGGCTTAAGATTAGGTAAAAATGTTATTTACTCAACTGAATTACTTTCTGGTGTTCTCTGATAAAAAAAAACTGTAATTAACTTATGAAAATCTAATTAAATTTAGAATACTTATTTCTTATATCCATTTATTCAGACATCCATTGATTATGGGACATGAGATCGATAAAGATAAGGGGATTGTACATTGAAAGGGACATATTCTTTTGGGCATGAGACCCAGTGTAGAAATAGAAAGAATAGGCCAGGTCTCAGCTCTGCCACTTACTTGCTGAAATACCTTCTGTACATTTCCTTACTTCCCTGAACCAGAATCCCCACAAATGCCCAGGAAAGAAGAATAATAATATTGCCTGATAAAGCCTGTGAGATGATAAGGTGATACTTGAACGTATATAAAAAAAGAAAGCTTGACTTTATAACAACTAAACTGCTATGCAAAGGAGTCATTATATTTATTAAGCTCATTTCACAAAATGACATAGATTCAAAGCAAAGCAACCTTGCTGGAAACATAAAATTATTCACTACAATATGAATCTGTATAAAACAAGAGGTCACATAGGAGGGTCATTGCCCAAATTAAGTTGGTCCAATCAGGGAAGATCTCTTGCTTGGAATAGTTTTGAAAAGGAATTAAAGGCAATATATGGATTCATGGTTAAAATCAGATATTACAGACTTCCCTAAATTTTCCTAGTTTAAGTGGCCTTCTTTCCTGGATGTTCCTAAATTTCATCATATTCATTGGTGCCAAGGGCTTTGATCCAAGGCAGGTGCACAATTACTCCCATCCTAACCATGTGAAAATGCTGCTAGTATGTTTTCTGGCTTGAGTTCTTTGTAATTCAATTCTTGGCAAAATTTCTGTTTCCAATTAAATACACTTAAAGATGAAGATTCAAGATTGTTTTCTGTATTGCTTATGTAAAGTTATGTTAATCGTACTTTTAAAATCGTGTTATGCACACTACTTTGCATCTTTTAAGGTAATTTTCAAGCATTTTTTTTATATTAGACTGATTTTCTACTTACACATACATCCATTTATCCATCCATCCACCCATCCATACATACATCCACTCTTGTACATACCCATTGTTTCAGTCCCAAGTCTGAACTGTTGTCTCCACCTCTGCTGCCCTCAATCCTACCTGTCTTATCCTACAGCAATCTAAATGTGCTTTCTCTTACCTGCAAGTTTAGAAAACAAGAGATGTCTTATACATGTTTGTTTCTATCATAGATCTTAACAGTATTTCCTTAGGAATGCTCTATACTAAATAGCAAAGCATGGACTGAGATGACTATAAGTGTGTTGAACATTTGTTTCGGGTTACTTTTATAAAACAGATAGGTACACTCTCTCACAGACCCAAATGTTTAGTATAACCACTATTTTCAAGTATTAGGACAGGAAGCCCTCCATAGGATTGTGGCATTAGTTTCTTGGTCTTCTCACTGCTAGTTTCTCTTGTGTTCCAATTCATTCATTTATACCCTTTGTCTCTATAGGTGTGAATGTCTCTGTAATATGTCCCAGTCCATCCACATTGCCAGCAGAAAGAGATTTCTTCAGTTATGGACCTCATCTTCGCTACCTCCGTCTGGATGGAAATGAAATCAAACCTCCAATCCCAATGGCTTTAATGACCTGCTTCAGACTTCTTCAGGCTGTCATTATTTAAACACATTCTCACCAAATCTAAAATTAGTTTAATGAGCTAATGTTTCTGACACGAAATGTGGTTACCATTTATAGGCTTAGGACACAAGTCATATTCCCCATTGCTCTTGGCACAAATTTTCATTGATGCAGTATATTTCTTCTATTCAAATATGCTTTTGCCAGTTACATGCTGCACAACCTGCATTAATTTGCATTTCTTTTAATTAATAAAACAGACACAGAGTTAAGATAGTTTATCAACTCAAAGATAGATCTTTTTTTGGTTCCTTCCATAGCTTATTAACACTAATGCAATTATATGGTTATGCAATAAAAAGGACATATTTGCGTATGTTCAAAATTACTTATGCAGATAGTATAATTTATGACATAGATGCAATAAAACAGGAGTAGAAAGATCTGAAGAAAACGAGATATTTCTTGACTGTAATCATAATGAAATAAATGCAGATTGCTAAGAAGCTGTTGGAGGTACAAGTTTGATATTTAGCTTGAGAATAGGTATGGAATGAATCAAATACTTTTTTTTTTTTTTTTTTTACTGTGAATCAAATACTTAATTGCTAAAGAATTCTTGTTATTTAATATTAAATAATGAAACAGCAATCATTTCTACTTCATTACCATTTCTTTTAGCTGTTGTTTTTAGATATAGCACACTATATTCTTATAAGTTCTGAATTTTATGTTTATTATAATACATCTTTCATGGAATCTTAGTGTTTTAACATTTGAAATCCACTTAAACTGCAAATTGTGCAGCGTTTATATTTGATTGTGGTTTTTTTGGATTTTTTAAATAAAAATATTGAATACTTTATAACAAAACAGAGTATTTCAAAGACATCATTAACAAGCTTCATTTAAGAATGTATTTTAATAAAAAAGTGTTATAATAAAAATTATTTTCATTTTTCTGGCATAAATATATTCAGATATGTTAATCCTACCTTCATTTTTCTTTTCTTTAAGAAAACACAAAAAATTTGTATTCTAATCACTTGACATAATATTCTGACTTTTGTAAATTAAAAAAAACACAGAATTTCATTAAATAACAAAGTACCATGTTCTTTATATTAGCCTTCTGACTTTACAGGCATATGCTGTAAGCAATCTATATTCCATAAAGATCAATGCATACTTTTATATACATTTTCCTACCAGTATTCTTAAAAATCATATAAAATAAGGCATATTTCCACAGAAAAATGATTATATATGTTTGTAAAACAGTAGTTTAAAAATGTCCAATAGTTTACTTCAAAGCCTCTCAGAAATTTAGTATGTGAATTTCCAAGAAAACAACATAATGTGCAACTGCGTTTTTACGCCAAACTTATTTGACAGTGACGAAGAGCCAGTCCTTACTATGGCCTTATACCAAACTTATTATTTTTACACCAAAACGTATTTGACGGTGAAGAAGGAGGACCAATCAACAAACTTTGAGCACAGTTTTTAAAATCCTGGCTGAAAGTAATAAATCAATTGACATTAACAAAAAGAAAAAATGTTTTAAATGACCTCAAGGCACACAAATAAAATTACAAAAATTATGTCATAAAAACAGAAGTAATCAGATATGATTAGATTGAGAAAAAATATGTGAAGGGGAACATAATATCTTTAAATATTTGAAAACATGCCATTTGAAAAGGGCACAAAACATATGCCAGGAAGCCTCAAAATGAAGAGTAGAACATATGGGTAAAATGTATAACAAGTCATATTTTGGATCTAGCTAAGAAAGAATTTTCCAATAGTTGTTCCAAGTCACCCAGCAATGGAAGTAACTTTTCTTGAGGTAGAGTTACCCATCTCCGGAATTCTTCAAAGAGTGAATAAGTGATAACCCAAGAGGAAGAGCATAAAATGGAGTCCTAATGTGGAAGCAACATTGGTGTGAAATGTTTCTCTGAGAACTTTTCAACACTAAGAATTTTCTTCCTTCCTTCCTTTAAATTTAAGTATTTACTGAGTACCATATATAGGACTATACTACACACAGATGATATAATATTGCTTATTGTTTATTCTACAGTGGGTGAGACACAAATTAATTGCATAATCACAAAAATAGGTACAATTTTATATGTGATAAATGCTATTAACAGAGAGCTGCATGCTGCAAAGAAACTAACCATAGAGATTTGAGAGGTTTCCCTAAAGAAATAATGATTAAGGAAACATATAAAAGATTAAAAGTATTTAGCAGCACAAGGTAGAAAGGAAGACTATTCCACAAGATTATAATCCTTAGGAACAATTTGAAAGTCACCGAAGAGTTTTAAATCATAAGGGATTATTTTCATTGTCGAGTAGCATCACGCAATGGTAAAGAACACTAACACTGAAGCTAAAGTTGCTGAGTTCAAATCCCAGCTTTGGCACTTACTAGCGTCATTGCCCTGGGCTGAACCTTTAAATTATTTATGCCTCAGTCTTCCCTTATCTGTAAAATGGAGATAGGCAATGGCACCTATCATACAGTGAAGATTAAATGAGTTGGAATATGTAAAGTGGCTTGAACAGCACCTGACACGTGGTAAATACTAAGTAAGAGTTATTTATTATTATTATTGTGTGCATGTGTATGTGTTTCTCCTTGGTGCTGGGAGTAAAACAGTTTGTAGAGAACCAAAACTGGATGTTCAGAGATCAGTTACGATTTCAGTCTTAGAGTACAAGTTAGAAAAAAAAAGAAAGTTTGGAGTATCAGGTTGTGGTGGAATTGGAGAGAAGTGGACAAATGTGAGTATTAGGAGGTAAAATTGTCAAGACTTGGTGGCAGATTGTATAAAGGGGAGTGAGAGGAACAAGGGCATTAAGGTTTCTGGCTTGCATGACAGAATAGATGGCAGTATATTTTCTAATAGAGGCACATTTAGAAAAAAATCATGAGTTGATTTTTACATATAGTTTATACTTGTTCAAACTATGATTCATCCAGAAGAAAATGTCATATAAGTTCTTGAATGAGGTCTGGATGAATACATAAACATGTAGGTACAATTTTATAGATTTATTTTTTAATCTGTCCGATAACTTAGCAGAATTTTGCACTTAAATACTCATACTCCCATGAGGTAAGACTGGTCAGGGGAAGGGAACAGATTAGGAGAATACAGACATCATTATTGGCAAGTGAAGTTATGAGGAATGGAATCACCTCATTTATACATTTTTTTTTATATATGTATAAAGCTACTATAGGTTCCCTGAAGCTTTCAAATGATATGCTGTTCTCCTTCTTGATGTTATATACAATGTGACTATTATCTTTAAAACTCAGGAGTAATAACTAGGAGATAAGTTCAAGCCATTTTGTATATTATGGCTCTTAATACATGTTCAATCCATCATTTAACAGGCCTACTTAAAATACAAAACAAAACAAAATAATATTATCTATAATCTTTCCATGTAAATATCATGACTAATTCATAAGCAAGAAAAAAATGCACAGATCAAAGAAAAGAAAATATAAAGGGATAGACTAAGCAATTTATTTGCAAATGATGTTTAAAAAAATTAAGATTGATTTTTGGTGGTAAAAGCCTTGTGACAGAATTCTTTTATTTAACTTCCCCAAATACCCTTAAAAAATAAAAATCTAGATAGGACAAATGGTATGGTGGAAGAAAAATTCCAGATGACATCTTTGACAAGACTGGTGTGAAAGAATTCAGTAAATCATCAAGAGAATTGAGTTTAAAAGTGTGTGTGTGTATGTGTGTAAGAGGCAGGAAGAAATAAGTGTTTTTCCTACTCACACACACTCAACACAACACTGTCCCTCTAGTCACCCAAACGTGAGGGAATTTCTCCCCACCAAAAGCTAATTCTCTAGCAGACAGAAGCTGGGTATTCCATAATTCAAATCAATTCTGGAACTACCTATCTGGAGACAGTGTCAGGTCTCACAGGTTAAGGGTTTAGTCCCACAAAACGGTCCCAGGTCCCAAATTCAGATGTCAAAGACAAATAGTAGATTGTCACCTACATTTCCAACCAACCAGATCTAAATTGGAGTTTCCACAAGCCCCTCAAAGGGCTTGATTAATTTGCTAGTGTAGCTCACAGATTAAGGGGAAACATTTTATCTACATTTATAGGTTTATTATAAAACCATTACAAAGGATACAGATGAATAGCCAGGTGGAAGAAACTCATAGGGTAAGTATATGAGAAGAAGCATGAAGCCTCATGGCACCTCCAGGTGCTCAGCAAACTGGAAGCTCTCTGGGACCCCGTGTTTAAGGGTTTTTATGGAGGCCTCTTTATGTTGACATAATTGATTGCATCACTGGCCATTAGCCGTCAATTCAATCTTAAGCCTCTCTTTCCTCCCTGGAGGTTATGGCAGGGGAAAGTTTAAACTCTTGCAGGCTAGTTGTTTCCTGGGTAACTAGCCTCCATCCAGAGGCTATCCAAGAGTTGCCCCATTAGAACAAAAGATGCTTCCATTACCCAGGATATTTCAAAGAATTAGGAACTCTGGATCAGGTGTTCCTATCATTCAGAAAATTACAGAGGTTTTAAGAGCTGTGCCAATAACTGGGATCAAAAACTAAATATTAGAACAAAGGATTCTCCTATTGTCCCCATCTCCAAGAGTCTTAGAAGTTCTATATCTGGAAACGAGGAGCCAAGACATTAATCTCTCTCTCTTTCTCTCTTTATACACATATATATTATATATATGTATATACACACACACACACACACATACACACACACACACACACACATATATGAGATTAATTGGAATATGTGAAGTGCCTTGAACAGCACCTGACACATGGTAAGTACTAAGTGTTATTTGTTATTACTGTGTGCATGTGTATGTATATATATATGTGTGTGTGTATATATACACAAACACACAAACATATACACATACATGCACATAATATTTCTTAATATAGGTATTTGATAGACTGATAGGTAAAGATACTTACAATTTAAAGTGCTCTAAGAAGGGTGCATTGCCTAGGAGGCAAGTTTCAAATCCACCGTGTGCTACTACTAACTCTTTGATCTTTGGTAGTCTTAACATTTCTAAGCATTGGATCCTCATCTGTAAAGTAAGGAATAATATCATCAACCTTACACAACTGCTGTGAGAATTAAGAGAGAACACATGTAAAACATGTTATTATCTGATATATAGAAAATACCCAATAAATGGTAGGTTGGAAATTTATTATTAGGAGGGACTCTGATGCACACAATTGAATAGATTTTCTCTACCAGAGCAAATCATTTTATGAATAAAAAAAAGTGAGCAAAATAAATGGTGAACTTGTCCATGTCAAAGATTTCAAATTTTGGTGCAATGGATGCAAGTGAAGTTGAGGGTGACAGAATGGGGCTAGT